GTTCTTAAACTTTGCCACACATTGGGGACCTTTACAAAAATACTGATCTGGTTCCCACACTCAGACATTCAGATCTAACGGGGTATGATCTGAGCACGAGAGGGGTTAAAGTCTCCCTAGGTGCTTCTAAAGTGCAGCAAAGTTTGGGAGCCACTGGTCTAAGAGAGGATGGAACAGGGACAGACTGATGGGCAAGTGGGGGAGAGGGGTGGGCAGAAGGCTAGGCAGGTACCCCGGCAGAGGGTAGAGTACGTGCAAAGGTGTGGAGCCGTTAAGAGGAATAGTGAGATGCTCAGTGAGGAAAATGCCAGTGATCGAGGGAGAAGTAGGAGTATTTGAGGCTGGAGAAGTGGACAAGGACTTGGTCGTGAAGGGGCTTGTATTGCATGTGGAAAAGTTCGGGTTTAAACCAGGAGGTACCTGGAAACCTGCAAGGGAGTGTAAGTTGGGGAGGGGCACAATTAGATTCATGATATGGGACAGTATAGGGGGTGGACCATAGGCAAAGTGATCATTTATTCACTCATTCACTCACCCCATCCATCCATCTGTCCATCCGTCCATACATCCACCCACCAGCCCACCCACCCTCCCACCCATCCATCCATCCATCCATCCATCCATCCATCCATTTCCTTCATTCGTGTCTCTCCACTGTTGATTGTGAGCTCTATGAGGCCAGGATCCTTGTGGAAGGGGCACAGCCAAGAGGGGTTTTAGCAGTGGTTCTCCACCCTGCCTGCGCATTAGCCCCACCTGGGAGTTTTGAAACCCCACTGATGCCCAGGCCCTATCCACCAGAAATTCTGATTCCATTGGTTTGCACTAGGGTCCTGATACTGATTTTTTTTTTAAAGTTGTCCAGATAATTCTAACGTGTAGCAAGTGTTGAGAACAATTGATCTCTAGAGATTTAAGAAAGTGCAAGAAAGCTCCAAGCCCAGTTCAGCCCACAGATGTATTTAGTTTGGCCTGCGCAGTGTTTAGAATAGCTCTGAATAATATTTTAAAATTAGGAGCTTTTTCATGAAAAATATCTGGATTTCTGGCTTCTGAAAAATCAGAAAAGCTGGCGACCCTGGGCCTACATTCTCACACAGCAGCCGTCTCCTGGAGCTGGGGGGACAAACGCAGGCAGGAGTGCCCAAGTGGCCACGCTTGGCTGCTATCATTTATGTATTTGCATTGCCTGCAAGTACCTGAGTCTGCCACCTGGTTTACCCCCAGGCTGTGCAGGCAGGCGTCTTCCCCTGTGGGGACAACACAGCAGAAGGAGTGTGCAGCAGGGAAGGGGAGAGATGATGAGTTGATTTGGGACAGGTGGGACCTCAGGTTTGTGTCTGCTGGAATCTAGAAATGTGAGTGGCGTTCACAGAATTCAAGCAGCCCAGATTCATGATCGTCTAATGATCCCATTCTAATCCCACCTTCCCTTTCCACACTGAGGCAGGGAGAGGCTGAGCAACTTGCCCAAGATTCCACCATAAGCAGAGCAGGCCCTAGAACCTGGGACTCCTGACTCCCAGACCACAGCATTCCAAGGCCTAACACATGGCCCCTGACCAGCTCTGGACCTCAACCAGGTTGCTTTGCTATACCTCAGTTTCTCCAAATTCACCACAGACCCTTCAACCTTCCTTCCCTTGGGTGGCAGTTGCTGCCTTGCTTTCTCCAAGGAGAAGGCTATGTTCTCAGTTATGTTATTTCCCCTTAACCTTCTTCACTGCCCCCCAGAAAGCTGGATTCAAAGAAAATCGCCCTCCACCTCCTCCCCTGCCCCTTTTAGGCCCTTCTCTAAGAAGGTGTCCACAGAGATTCTAGTCTGCACAGGAAGCTTTCCTTTCTTCAAGGACTTTCTCTTCAATCCCACTTGCTTCTCTCTTGCCACCTCCTGACATCCAGCTATTCCAGTGGAAATCAGTTTCCTGGACAGTGAAGACTCTTGGGCCACAGCCATGTGAGCCCCGCCCCAGCTGTGTGGGTCTGGATAATGGGATGAGGAGCTGCTACCCTGAGATGAAGGACCAGGTCAAGGGCTTGACCAGAATGGATAGGGCAGGAAGCCCGGCAGGACAAGAGGTGGCGGGCCTTCTCAAGATGGACAGAGATAGCTTCTGCACTCTGGCTGACTGTGCCCAGCGTGTACTTGATGCTCCTGGAGGACCAAAAACCTTGAGGGGAGGCTGGGGTGGGGGCAGCCTCTTCCTTCCATTATCTAGCTCTGTCTTGTTGGGTGAGCCATTAGCCTTGGTGGCTTCGCCTGTGAAACAGGAGTAATAGTGCCCTGCTTGCCTGAAGGGGTCTGGATCCAAGGTTCAGGGCTAAGAAGTGCCCCAGACCTGTGGTCAGGTGAATCTGGGAGGAAAGTATGTATCTGAAACAGAGCATTATGGCACCTCAGGTTGCCTGGGAGCCCCTTCTGGGGTGGGGGGAAGAGAAGAAAGGAAGACAATTTTCTTTATCTGCACAGAGAGACTTTTACCCAACTATCTGTTTGGCGTCCACCCTAACTTTTGAGATGAAGGGCACTGTGTTTACTGGCCACCATATGCCTGGCAATTGACTTTGAATCCTCACAGCAGCCTTGAAAAGAGGCATCACAAATCCCATTCTACAAATGGGGAAAATGAGGTTAAAGGACTTAAGTGGCTTATCCTGGGTCACACAGATAATAAACGAGGGAGAGAGAATTCACACCTAGGTCTTTCTATCCATGGCACCCCCCTGCCTGCCCCTCCAAGGTTGGACCCGTTAGATTTGTTTTGTATGGTGCCACATGTTCTGATGATGGTTGAAAAAGTCTGTAGATTTGGGAGGAGAAGGAAGAAAAAGAGGCTCTGTGGTCTGGAACCATTTAAATAAAAAAGATCAGCAATGGAGGTAATGGACCACAAGGTTAAGTTGAGGCGCTAGAATGATGTGGCTGCTAAAGAAAGAACAAAGGGAGGGGGAAAGAAGGAGAAAAAGAAAACGGGAAAGTGAGGCTGCATTATTCACAGTCTAGTGCCCAAATAATTACAGCTCATATTTATTGAGCACCTACTATGTGCCAAGCACTGTTCTAAGTGCTTTGCATGTAGTAACTCATGGATCAACAACTCTAGGTGACAGGTACTATTATTATCCCTGTTTTACAGAGGAGGAGAAACTAAGGCACAGAGAGGTTACATAACTTTCGCAATGGCACACATTCAGTGAATGGCAGAACTGGGCTGTACAAGTCATACAGCAGTGCCCTGAGCTCTGCATCACTCAGTGGGGCTTGACATGATCTGTTACAGCTCTGAGCCTCGACGACATGAGGGACTTCAAGAAATGTAAACAAGTCCACAGGAAGTTAGACTCGAGATAGCAACGACGTGAATGTCGTTCTTGTGCACCATGGAGTCTATCCCGACTCACAGTAACCCTAAATGACAGGGTAGAACTGCCCCACAAGGTTTCCTAGGCTGAACATTTTATGGGAGCAGACTGCCATAAAAGAGATAGCTGGTGGGTTCACTGCCAACCTTTTGGTTAGCAGCCAAGTGCTTAACCATTGTGGCACCAGGGCTCCTGAAGGATGCGAAAAACTAACATTTATTGAGCATTTAACATGTGCCAGGCACTGGTCCAAGTACTTTACATACAGTAACTCCTTTAATCTTCATAATTACTCTAAGGAGATAGGTACTATTATTATCCCCATTTTACAGATAAAAAAAAACTGAGGCAAGTCACAGGAGAAAAAAAGACCAAAGGCTACTTCATCTGTGAAAAGGCAGACTTGAAGGGGTGCCCTCCCTCCCTCCTGCTCTCCAAAGGGCTGTCCTGGGGAAAGAGGAAGCAATTTGAAGGCAAAAACATCTGCTGCTGGGCATTAGGGTGGGACACCTGCCGCTAGTCAGGGCTGGACTCAGTAACCTCCAAAACCTTACAATTCTGAGACTCTGCCAGCCATTTTGGGCAGAGGAGGAGCTAGAGGGAGAAGGGAGACCAGAAAGAAGCTTGAAGTGGACTATTTCCCCAGATACCAGGAATAAACCCCTGACCCCAATAAAGGAAGCAATGGGCCATTCATTCTCTTTCATCTGCTTGGAACCTGAATCTTCACTCCTGGGACAAAAGTCTATGGTGTGTCTACTGGGTGCCAGATAGGCACTGGAGATGTGGGGAGGCGTCCAGCCCAGCTCAACTGATCATTTGTTGAGCATTTACTATGCACTGGGTGGGAATGTTGACATCATCTCATTTATTCCCCTCAAAATCATTTTACAAATGCAATAACTGAGACTCTGGTGCAGATAAGTAACTTGCCTGAGTTGGTTAATTCTTAAGCCAGTGGTCAGACGTATTACATTGTCCATTTTTCTCCGGATTGCTCGGAGATGCTGGGGCTTCCTCACCTCCCTCCGGTTGTGGCCCCCTGCCCTGTGGCTGGGGGCTTCAACCCGCCCGTGTTTTCACAGCTGCCTCTCACCCCTTTCTCAGGAGGGCTGCAGGGTCCTGCACACCAGGGTGGGTAGGTGGGGGCCAGACTGGAGCCGGGCAAGGATGAGGAGTGGGGACAGGAGCTGGGATGCGGGGCACAGGGAGAAGGACGCAGAATTATCAGACGCCGTTGCCTCGGCTGCAGTGGGGCATGGAGTATATACCTCCTTTCTTGAAGGGGTTCTCGGTCTCTGCGGAGGGAATTCCATCGTGAGGGGGCTTAAGGAGCCCACGCTCAGCAGGACGCGGCGGGCGGGGAGGCGCTGGGCGGGGGGCGGCAGAGCACGGCGGGCTGCGGCGGTGCGCGGGAGTCTCTGCCCCGACCGACTCGGCCGGCTGACTCGGGGAGCGAGACCCGGCGAGAGGCCGGGACCTGCGGGCGTACGCCCCCTGCCAGCCCCCGCCGGACCCGAACCGACCCGCGGAGCGCAGAGGCAGGGGCGCGGGCTGGGCACCAGAGTGCTGCAGAGCGCCCTCAGCCTCTGCAGCACTCCATCGGAGACTGTCCCCGAGCACACAGGAGTGGGCATCATGGAGGGTGAGTGATCCGGGGGCTAGGGGCGCGGGCGGCTAAGGGTTCTGACTCAGGAGCAGTCTGCCAAGGGAGGGGAAAAGGGAGGCGGTGTCTGATCACTGATGACTGTCCGGAGCCACTCCGTGTGTGTGTGTGTGTGTGTGTGTGTGTGTGTGTGTGTGTGTGTGTGTGTGTGTGTGTGTGTGTGTG